CGATCAGAAAGGTGGGCAGTTCAGCAGTTCGAATCCCTAGCACTGCATAAGGGAGTGAGCTCCCATTAGTTGTCCCAGTTTCTGCCAACCTAGCAGTTCGAAAGCATGTAAAAATGCAAGTAGAAAAATAGGAACCACCTTTGGTGGGAAGGCAACAGCGTTCTGTGCGCCTTCGGTATTTAGTCATGCCGGTCACATGACCACGGAGACGGCTTTGGACAGAGCAGGCTCTTCGGCTTTGAAACAGAGATGACACCGCCCCCTAGAGTCGGGAACGACTAGCACATATGTGTGAGGGGAACTTTTACCTTTTTACGTTGGGTTTATTACCAGGTGTATTTTTCCATTTCTGATCCATTACTGTATCACCAAATGTTCCTGAAAGATTAGGAGAGGCTGCAGCGAAAGACGGAAGAGCATCGACACTCAAAATGATTCCTTTCCATGTTTGGTTGGCCGACAGAAAAAGCTGAACTTCAGTGGGCACTTCCGTCTGTCCTAAGGCCTTACAACATGTGGCTAACTTGCGGGCCAGATGTTTTGATGTGGACTATAAAGCCCTAGGCTACCTCATTCACTTTTCCCACGCCACCCAACTGCTGTTCAGTCTTGAGCTTAGCCTTAGGTTAGAAGCAAGATATTCAGTCAATTGCTTGAGAGGGAAGGGGAGAAAAACTGGTAGCAGAAAACTAGTGATTTAGAAATGGCTTGATGTGGAACAGGAATGCTGAAAGGCAGAAGCACCATTGATCCTACAGTTTCCTGATTCACAAGGTTGTGGAGCGTTGTTTACTAAGGAGAAGGAAAATACACATTTATGCATATGGTTTCTAACCCAAGATCACTGCTAAAGATTTGTCTGGCTGTGGTGTGGAACTAATTTTAAGCATAGGTGTTTGCTCCTTTGTTGCTGCTTTGCTGCTCAGGTATCTACCTGGGTGGTCAGTTTTGTTCCACAGTCTCCCTTTCCTGCCTTAGTTTGACCATTCTCTTCTGTCCTATATTGCCCCCTACTGGCAGATGTTCACATTGCAGCAGACCGCTCCTGGCTCCTCCATTTTTATTTCCTTCCTACCTGGAGAGGTAAACTTGGACTGTTAGGTAGAATTAGCAATGGTTGGTTAATTACATATTCCTGTTTCCTATGGCTAGTTGTAATGGATGAGGTTGGTCCTCGTCAAGAGTGGAGAGAAATTAAAAGACTTATTTCTCTCTCTCTCTGTCTAAGCTGCTTCCCCCCCTCCCCCCTTCCCTGCTTTCTATCAAACGCTACAGCTCTAAAATATTTTTCACGAGTCCTTAAATGTAGTGTTTGAAAGCCAAAAGGAATAACAAGAAAATGAGGTGTTTAATCATCATAGCAGAGCCACGTGGAAACACAGGCCAGCATTTTGAAAGCTCAGTGAAATATTGGAACTACTTGGAGTCATAAATTCATATCCTGCCAGTGATTGGGAAATGGCTACAGTTCAAAACCAGTCCAGGTTAATTCTGAGGTCAGGTTTTGCATGCTTGGATTCATTTTTTGTGTAAATCTCCCCAAGGAATTATAGTTTAGGAACGGGCTATATCGCATAAATTTTCCAAATTTGATCTGTTGCCTTTGATGAATCTTGATTAGGAGAATCTAGGAGAATCACACGGACTGTTAATTCCTATCTAACCTTTCCAAATACCATCATCACAAGTCTCTGAGCATAACAGAAAGTTAAGTACCTGGATTTATGATTACAGGGTACTCACCCCAATGCCCCTATCCCTTCCTCTCTGCAAAGTCCTCTAAATAGCAATAACACTTATATACTGCTTCACTGTGCTTTACAGCCCTCCCTGAGCGGTTTCCAGAGTCAGCCTATTGCCCCCAACACTCTGGGTCCTCATTTTATCCACCTCGGAAGGACAGAAGGCTGAGTCAACCTTGAGCTTGGCGAGATTCAATCTGCCAAATTGCAGGCAGCTTGCAGGCAGCAGAAGTAGCCTGCAGTACTGCACTCTAACCACTGTGCCACCGCAGCTCCTAAATCAGTGTTTCTCAACCTTAGGAACTTCATCTTGATGTGTAGATTTCAACTTCCAGATGGCTGGGGAATTCTAGGAGTTGGAAGTCCACTCATCTTAAAAGTTGCTGAGAGTCGGAAATGCTGCTTTAAATGGAAGCAGGGCCATTTAAAGCACTGGTTCTCAATCTCGACAACTTGGAGTGGGTATTGACATGAACTGGAGTTGACATGGAGCTGTTTTTTTCAGTTCAGCTCCTCTTCAGTTCAGCAAAATATATAAACGGACGAATTTCTCCATAGGAATTATGAGTCGGTAACTCTCACATCTGCTATATTTTGAGCTGCAGGCCCCATCGATCAGGAGCAGGCTGTGTAGATATCTTGCCGAAGTTGCCCAATCGTCCCTCCTGATGGCTGTGTTGGCCATGTCTGAGGGACTTAGAATTCCACAACATTTGTTACAGAGCACATTCTTCTCCCTAGTTATTCCCCAATAGAAACATTTGGCATTTTACTCCATCCCAGCTTCATAAATGCTTTCTTTTCATTACTTCTCCAGGATGGAGTCTACAGAAAAGTGTGAAGCAATCATCACCCACTTCAATGGCAAATATATCAAGACACCTCCAGGGGTCCCAGGTGAGAAAATACTATAAGGGTGAATTGATTCCTTCCTGGAAGAACAAAAGTTTAAGGTCATAGAAGCAGCAGCAGCAGCAAAAATAGTAGAGTTTTTTTTTAAAGGGCACCATACTAAATAATAAAACAACATTGAGACATTAGTATGGTAACTCCGTATCCTGCAATTAAGGTAACTATATCAGTGATGGGGAACCTTTTAGGGACCAAGTGCCCAAAATGCCCACGTGCCCAAACTGAAAGTCGTGGGTTCATGTGTGTGCATGCCCTATGCATGCCTCCCCCCACACTCAAACTGCAAGGTGACAGGCACCCTGCACATGTGTGGCAGAGACCTGAAGGTGAGCTGGCCATCGGGAGGTGCATGTGCGCAGAGACCCAAAACAGAGCTGGGGCAACAGCGCACGTGTGCACAGAGAAGGTGCTGCATGTCATCTCTGGCACGTGTGCCAGAGGTTCGCCACCACTGTACTATATAAAGACTCAATAACTTGAATAGCCCATATCTGTTAAAATAGACGTTAGAAGTCAGATCTAAACAACAAAGCATTTTTGCCCAAATAATTAATATTTTGACCAGCTTGGGGGTAAAAAATTCCATAAAAAGGAAGGTTTTAGTACTGTTCCAAATGCTTAGATGTCTGGGCATGACTCTGGCAGCAGCTGGTTCTAGAGGGCTGGCATTAAAATGAGAAAACAATTCTCAAATCTGATGTCACAATTTTAGTATGAGGTGGTACTATTCGCCCATAGCTAAACGTTCAGATCACAGAGAGGAACCACCATCAGGTTTTCCAGTTAAATAGATGTCCCTGTGAAAACCCAACAGCCGAAGTGCAAGACCCAATGAGTTAGCCAGCAATTAGAGTCGGTATCTTTCATAAATACGTAGCCACTTGGGAGCCCACTAATAGAGGGAAGGAAGGATTGATTCAGGGAAGGTCCAGCATAGCACACACTATCTAGATCATCCAATAAAATAAAAATATTAGGTGACCTACTAAGAGACTGTTGCAATAATCCAGCTAAGGGATGTTCAGGGAATAGAAGAGACTAGAGACTAGAATTGAATTGAATTGAATTCTTTATTGGCCAAGTGTGATTGGACACACAAGGAATTTGTCTTTGGTGCATAAGCTCTCTGTACATAAAAAGACAAGATGCATTCATCAAGAATCATAAGGTACAACACTTAATGATAGTCATGGGGTACAAATAAGTAATCAAATCATACTAGGAAACAATCAATATAAATCGTAAGGATACAAGCAACAAAGCACCAGTCATGCAGTTATAAGTGGGAGGAGATGGGTGATAGGAACGATGAGAAGATTAATAGTAATAGTAATGCAGCCTTAGTAAATAGTTTGACTGCATTGAGAGAATTATTTGTTTAGCAGAGTGATGGCATTCGGGGAAAAACTGTCCTTGTGTCTAGTTGTTCTGGTGTGAACAACTAGACACAAGCATCGTATAGCATCATTTTGAGGGTAGGAGTTGAAACAGGATGGAGGGGTCTGTAAATATTTTCACGGCCCTCTTTTTGACTCGTGCAGCATACAGGTCCTCAATGGAAAGCAGGCTGGTAGTAATTGTTTTTATAATTGACCTGCTAAGAGACTGTTGCAGTCATCCAGCTAAGGGGATGATCAGGGCATGAAGCAATTGCTTTCCTGTTTCTGTGACGAGGAACTGATAAAGCCAATGAATATTCTTTAAATGCAAACTCCAAATTCCGAGCACACACATGCGCATTGGCCAGCAGCTCTTGGCACGCCACATGCCCGTCAGAAACTAGAAGACCAGGTGCCCGGTGCCCGTATGTGCACTGGGTGGCTGATCTTCCAGTTTCTGGCGCTTGCGTGCGCTTCCATTTCAGCACTCGGTGCCAAAAAGCTTTGCCAACACTACTCTAAGAGGAATGTGTGGGGGAAGGTGCCGTAGAGTTAAGGAATCCTACTTTTTACAAGGAGTAACATTTCACAGCATGGTCCTTGTGGAATAGATAGACTTCACTCCGGCAAAGGTATTTATAAGAGGGACATTTTTATTTCCTTATTTGTGTCCATCTCCTCCCATCTCAAGGTAGGTGTGCACATCTACCAAAAGAATTAAGGGTTTCTTGCCATTTCCGGGCTGTTATCAATTGATCATGTCTGATAAGTACAATATCGCATTGTCTTCCACTCGTTTCCCTTAGCTTCCCTTTACAGAGGTGGTTATTAGTCATTGCATTCATGTCCCCAATTTTGCCTGAACACTCCAGGAGCTTACATGGAGACTGACCTTAATTTAATTCCCACAACAATAAAGATGGATTATGCCGAGAGAGGATGACTATCCCCAAATCACCTAAAGAGTCTTTGTGTCGGAGAAGCGCTCGATCAGGTCACTTCCGATGCTGCAGTGGCTACAGCTACAGGCTCTCCAGTGCTGGCTGCAATAAAACTAGGCCGCATAACGAAAAAGAGTTTGGGGAGAGGGAACACAGCCACTCCACTCACGGGAAGCGTATCTGATTGGGGAAGACCCATTAAAATATACTCTCTGTCCCAATTATTTGATGCCTCCTTTTTGACAAGCTGTTTTAATCATCTGCTTTTCCAAAGTGGCCATACCTGGTCTCCTGTGCTCCCCCCCCTCAAATAACTCACAGAATAGAGGCTCCTTTGGTTTCAGTGCATGTATCAGCTGGCCCTTCTGACTTGCTGGCCAAGGGTCCAGTGGAGGGAAGCAGGAGTGTCCTCTTGTACATAAGTGCTACTCATGTGGTAGTAATTCAGAATGCTATGTAGCTCTGTACACTCTCCCAGTTGTGGGAGAAGAGAGTAGTTGCTTGGCAACAAAAAGGAAGGTTAACCACAAGAGTTCAAGGAAAACAGTAGCATGACACCGAAGTCTGCAAGTCTTTACATGGAAAGCTGCCTGGGCCACACACACACACTCTGGACGGAGGCTGTAGCATTCCCTCCAAAATACTAATAGGCCCAGCACTGATGTTAAAATAAAAGTCTGCAGATGGTCTGATAAAAGTCTCAGAATTGATACTAGCTAGCTCTTCTGACTTCCCCCTCAGCACGGCTGGATCCTGAACAATTTGCAGAAGGTTTCATTCTTTATTTCTAGCCATGAGGGGTGAAAAAGAAAGAGAAAGAAAGAGAGAGGAAGGGAGAGAGAGATAGAAAGGAAGGAAAGAAAGGAAGAAAGAGAGAAAAGAAGGGATAGATAGATAGATAGATAGATAGATAGATAGATAGATAGATAGATAGATAGATAGATAGATA